TTAATTTAAGTTTAATAATGAAATAATTTATTTTTGATTTAATAATATAACATTTTATAAAGATAATAATTAAGTATTTTGTTAGAACTCAATGATTATCCTAATTATATTTTAGATTTTTTATATTTAAAATGATATGTTTATCCTGTATTGGATTGTGTTTATCTGCAGTTAGTTACGCGAATTCAGTTATGGGATGAAATCGGATAGAGATGAAATCGTTTAGGGATGAGCGGGTTTAAGAGTTTAAGAGATTAAGAGTTTAAGAGTTTTTAAGAGTTTTAGCCAAATGCATTATAATATAGTATAGATATTCACGTGAGAGTACCCTTTTTCCGTGAGACCACATCCAAGCCATTGCATTTGTCGAACCTTCAATATTTTCTTCACGGAAAAAAATGTGAAGGCTCGGGAATAAATATGAAGGCCTCGGCCCCGGTCCCCAGTGGGTACGGGGATTAACATCTCATCTCTGGTCAAACCCCATGAAGATATCCGTTAGTTTGAGTCTACCGGGATCCCCGGTCCCAACCCCAGTTTGAGTAACAGCGTAGGGCTTCAGTTTGAGTCTACCGGAGATCCCCATCTCGGGACCCGTTTTAGCGAGGAATCTTCGTTCCTGTTCAAATCAGATGAACCGGGTTCCCCACTAGATCAGGACAAATCACCACCCCTATTTCCCTTCCCTCACCTACACCCCATATGTTGTTAGCAGTGGCGGACACAGTAGCAAAAAGGAGGGGAGAAAGGACCCTAGTCAAAAACTAAAAAAAAAAATTCCTAGGTTAAAATTTAGGTTTTGCACGATTTACCTTTCACTTCCTCCGATTATATTTTTCCACGGGTCCCCAACCCCAATCGAAACTGTTACTCTAACCAAAAAAATCTATTGAAATCAATCAAAAAAACCAAAAAAGTTATTCAAAATCGACAAAAACATTAAAAAAATCCCTCGAAATCAACCAAAAAATTTTAAAAATCCCTCGAAACGTTGTAATTAGGTTAAAAATTGAGGTCACCTTTAAGATAGACTAAAGGTGACCCTAGTAGACAAAAATCTTGAATCCGCCACTGGTTGTTAGTGTTGTGATTTAACACACAATATGGGCCCTTGAAACTTTTTTTAAAATGTGACACATCAAGATCCAAAAACAATTGGACAAAAATCTTGTAGATTTTCTTTTTTGTTTCATACGAAACAAAATCTTCTTTGGCCATACCACCTTTTATTGCATTTCTTGCCCATTTTTGTTTGTTTTCTCTTGGAAATTACTATTTTGTCCTTCTTATACTTGCACTATACCAAAAATACCAGTAGCGAATACGAAACTGAACACTAAGTTGATTTCGTAAAACTGAATTTGAGTATGATTTATATACGATTAAAAAGTTGTAGTTCCTCTGAAACATATGTACCGATTTTAAAGCAGAAAAGGTGTAAAGACCTTTTAAATTATGAATACGGCAACAAGAAAATGGTAATAGGTTATTTTCCCTTAACCGATACAGTTTCAAAAAATTGTAGCCGATGGTCCCAACTCGGCTTTTAGTTATCCTTCTTAACCTATCCTAGGCTTTGGGCACACTTGCCAATTGCTAATGGTCCCAACTCGGTCCCTTTAAAACTGGGACACTGGTCCTGAACCCAACCAAAAATCCCAGGATTGATCTTAGGTACGGGCCTAGGCCCGACCTTGTTTATAAAAAAATTTAATTAATGTTATACATTTTTGTCGTTATGATTTTTTAAAGTTAACATTGAAACACACTTTAATAATACATTTACTTGTAAAAAGTCGTTAAAAATTTGAAAAAGAACCTGAAAATTTTATAAAAATCTTGAAAAACTTGTATCGTAGTTTATAGATGTAACGCCCCCAGAACCCCGTAGCAATGATAATGTCCGCTTTGACTAACCTGCCCGCTCAACCACAAAGCAGTAGCCGCACGATTTTGTTTCTGGCAGCCGCACAACGCAATCCCCAAAACGCGTCATACTAGGTTGAGGTATCCAGACCCTTATAAGGAGTGCTTAGTTCTCCTCACCAACCGATGTGGGACGGGTTGTTACACCCTCCCCCCGTTAGGACACAACGTCCTCGTTGGGCCACA